CCCTCCCTTACCTTATTTAGGCCACACTGAGGCCCAAATAAGCTAAACCCCCCTCCCTTACCTTATTTAGGCCATATGTGGAAGGGAAAAAACCAGTGCTTTTGAAATAGAACTTAGCAGAGCATTTTTTTTATTCAGAAAACGGAAAAGTTGTACAGGCCCAATATTTGCACATTTGGACCGCTCAGTAGAATACATGTATGATCGATAATTTAACACCGTCATTGTGGACCAAGAAAAGGCCTTCGACAGTTTTTGCTATGTTTTCTGTTCATCTATCTTTCTTTCCGATCTGTCAACCGAAGGTCCAGTCTCGCAAAAATCGATTCCGAATCCCCACAACATGAGGCACCCATGGGGTGCAACCTGTACGAGGGGATCCCGGTGGCTGAGGTGTGGCTTCCTAATTGGTGAGGACCAACACGCCCTGGCACCAGCCATGGACTTCCGAGCGGTGTTTCCTTGTGGGACTTGATGGCAGGAGGGGAGCCCTGGCGATACTTATGGATAAAAAAACAAATATTTCTCCTACCCCAAACCCCTGAAAGTCCCACACAGGAGAAGCAGGTGCAACTCCTGGCCTGGGCAAACGAAAGAAGGGCTTTTTGGGCGACGATGCTGACTCAGCATCTGGGACAAGCTAAAGCAGACGTCATTGAGGCGGTCACCATAGATCACTAAAAATGTTTGGGATAATAAAACCCAAATACAATAAGAAACTAGGATCCACGGACCTCTTGGTGCAAGTCAGCTCCAGAACAGAGTCAAGTAAACTAACTGTTGGCCTGCGCCTCGTTTGGCGGCATCCCTGTTTGCGTTTAACCACACATGAGCCTGAACACATCCAAGGATGTCATTAAAAGCCGAGAACTCTGTGACTGCACAGAAGAATGTCCATGCTCGTCGTGTCAGGGTGCGGCACGATGGCAAGGAAATCTATACCAACACGTGGATCCTGACTTTCAGTGCACCCACACCACCTACAAAAATAGATATTGCCAACTTAGAGTTAAAGCTGGAAATAAAACCATAATGTGTTCCGAAACCGACGCGGTGTTTTAACTGTCAGCGCTTCGGACACACACGCAGCTACGCTGTCGTCGTGGTGCAGCGTGTCCTCGCTGCGGCAAGGAAGAACACTCTGGGGAGACCTGCTTTGCAGATCTCTGGTGTCCAAATTGTCGTCAGGGTGGGTCTCTTTGCATCTTCGTTTTAGCGTGCCAAGAGATGTCAGAAGAACAGCATAACACAGAGTTCAGTACTGCAGAGCGTTAGCTTAAGCATGAGGAACGTTATTCCCGACAGGATCGACCCCGAGGCAAACTAAAACTCTGAAGTCATAAAAACGGTCCCTGGGACTGCAAACCCAACCCGAAAGGTCCTTCAAACAAACAGACCAAAACAAACAAAAAGTATTCCTACTATCTGTGTTAAAAACCGATACTCCAGTCCTTTTCCTCCCTTCCTGCCTCTCCCACTCCCCATTCACCATCCCCAACATCCCTTCTTCCTTTCGACCCTTTCAACCATCCTCTTCATCCTCACCCACATCTTCATCTTTATCCCCATCATCATCTTCACCCCCATCATCTTCACCCCCATTGTCTTCACCCCCAACATCTTCATTCCAACATCTTCACCACCAACATCCTCACTGCAATCAACATCTTCACACCCATCCTACATCCTCATCGCGTCCACCGCCATCTTCTTCATCTCGCCCACCATCCCATCAGTCTCCATCCACCCGAGTCCCTCCATCCACTTCTTGCACCAACTCCCCCTCACCTACACGTATGCGGTACTCCAATCCTTTTCCCCTTCCATACCCCCCCCCCCCCCCCCCAAAAAAAAAGGGACCGCGGCATAACCAAACAAAGACAACACTCACCAACGACCAATAAAGGGTGTTGAACCCGTTCCATAAAAACAAATATAATGCCAGTTCTTCAGTGGAACATTCACAGTTTGCGTGCAAAACAGGAAGAACTCTCCCTTTTTCTGGCCTCGCACACCCCAAATGTTATCTGTCTGCAAGAGACAAAATTACCAACGCCCACATTCACATTAAAAATGGTCAAACTTACAACCAAATATACACCGGCAACCAAATCGCCCCTGGAAGCAACTCCATTTTAATAAATAACAAACACACACAGACAAATACACATAATTACAACACTTCAGGCAGTCGCGGTCACAGTCACGCTACGCCGTCCTTTAACTTTCTGTTCTGTATACATCCCTCCAAATTTACCGACTATCTTTAAAAGAACTAATAAACCTTAGAAAACAGCTCTACCAGCTTTCATCATGTCAGGAAATTTTGATGTCCAACTGATTATCATCGAAGATTTCTTATTTTAAAAAACCAATACTAGTATTTTTAACGACAATTCCCCAAAATTGAAAATTCAAATGACTTCAACTTTTCATATATAGGTCTATCTCTGTTTGATCCAGATTTAATTCCAGATTTTCAGCGGTCGGCCGTGGACGACAAACATCCCAATCAACCTAACTCCTATCCCAGACCGTTTCAATCTTTAAAATTTGTAATGGAAGAAAGGCTTGGTCCCTTGTCAGCAACCTATCGGTAGAAAGACAAAAAATCAACCACAAACCTATTTTCCTTTCAGGCAACACCATCACAGAAGACCAGAAGCTAAAAAAAAGCTAAACATTTTAACCGATATTTCCTACCTCTGTTAACAGGGCAAGTAGACTAACTGAGGCCGACTCCTCATAAACAAGGCTAAGCACGAATAAAAAGCCCCTATCGTGAACTACATCCTTTTCTAGGAGGACTTCTGCACAATGAAACTTTGACCGGCCCTAAAAAAAATAAAGCAAAAGAAAGCCCATTTTCACCAGACAAAATACGCTACGAAATGCAGTGCAAACTTGGTGCTAAAGGAAAATATGTTCTACGCCATGTGGAGAACGAGCGGAAAGGAGGATCGCCCAGATCATACCGCTCCTGAAGAAGGGGAAACCACATGGAGAAACGAAGAGCTGCCGACTTTTATCACTAACATCATGTATTGGTAAGCTTGCCGAAAAAATTGTGAACAAACGCCTTTACCGGTACCTGAAAAACCCCAACAGCTTGGACCAACACCAAGCAGGTTTCTAAAAAGGCAGCAACATGGAAGACCAACTTTTCAGGCTAAGTCAAGACATCCAGGATGGTTTTCAGGAGACTAAACACACTGTTGCCATCTTTGTAGATCTCCAACAGGTGTACGACAGAGTGTGGAGAAAAGGCGTACTTAAGAAAAAGATGGACCTCGGGATACACGGGAAACTTTATAAATGGACCAAGTTTTTCCTTAGCGGATGGAAACATCGAAACAAAGGTGAACAATGCCCACTCATCAAGATAAGTACTCGAAGAAGGTCTACCCCAAGGTTCCTGTCTGAGTTGCACTTTGTTCCTAATCTTTTTTCATGATGTGACGAACGTGCTGAAATCAGAAAAGACTCTCTACGCTGATGATCTTGCTCTCTGACAGACACATCACTGCACGGCAGTAGGAACACGACAATTAAATGAAGACCTCAAGAAGCTCCACAATTACTGTCAGAAATGGAAGCTCAAAATAAACTGCACGAAAACAGTATACGCCATCTTTTCAAAGAGCCATAAAACAGGCCAAGAAAAACTCCAACTGAAGATAGGAAATGAAAAACTCCCCAAAGAAGAACAACCAACGTTCCTAGGAGTCAAGCTTTACCAAAGTCTAACAATGAAAAGCCAAGTTGAGAGCATAAAGAACAAGGTGAAAAGAAGACTCCAACTTTTAAAGAAACTCGCAAGCAGTTCATGAGGATCAGACAAACAAACTCTGAGAGCTCTAATACCTTGGTTATGTCCGATCTTCCCTGGAATACAGCAACAACCTACTCAATATTTGTAGTGTTACCCTTGACAAGATCCAAAATAATGCCCTTCGTTTCATAAACGGTGGCATGAGATTTACACCTACTGCCGCATGTGAAATTCTTTCAAATGTTGAACCCCTGGGAATTCGAAGAGAAAAAGCAGTTGTGGAGCTCCATGAAAGAATCAAAAGAATGTGCCCCAACCACCCGAACAGGAAATTAGTAGAAACATGGAAACCAAAGAAACGACTTCAACAAAAGCCAAACATGCATCGCATCACAGAACTAATGGAGAGCTACCATCTACCACAAAACAGAAGAGAAACCAGAAGAGTCAACCAAAACATCCCTCCCCACATCTCTATGGAAAAACCAATCATTACAACTTCTCTCAGAGACAATAGCACAAAATCTTCAGACCCAGTGAAGTTGATGCTTGCATCACATCAAACAATCGACAGCTATTCAGGTGACTGGATACACGTCTAAACAGACGGCTCAGCATTCAAAGGCACAACCAAACGCGGATATGGAATACTAATACAGTAACCAGATGGAAGTTGCAATGAGATCTGAGCAGCCTGTGGAGAGAAATGCAACAACTACGATGCAAAAAGGATAGCAATTGAAACAGCACTATACCATCTCCGCACAGTTTGACCCTCATCCAAACAAAACCAAAACACAGAGTATAGTAATCTTCACAACTCACTATCAGTCTTGCAAGCAATAGAAAATGACCATCATCTAAACGAAGAGTTGACATATACACTGTTTGGCTCCTGATAACATCCTGTGGCGTCAACCTTGGTGATGCAGGGGATTCCCGGACACTCAAACATACCTGGAAAAGAAAGAGCAGACACACTCGCTAAAAGGGGATCTAGACAGGAACAACCCAACATTCCAACTTCATACAACACTGCAAAATAAATCGTCGTTAAAAACAACAGCAAACAAGATTGTATGACCAAATGGACCTTGGGAAAGACAGGCAGAGCAGCTTTCAAACATATGACTACAACAAAACGAAAAGACCACCTGCAGAGAAAGAAACAGACCTACGAACATAACATATACAGCTCAACTTTCACTTGAACAGAATAAAACAAGAACTTCCCCCAACATGTCCTTGGTGTGACTATGCATATGAGACAGTTGAACATCACCCTTTCCACTGTACTGCCCTAAATAACATCAGAGCTACACTTCTCCCTCCGAGAACACTCTTCGGAACATTACAGCAACTTCACCAAACCTGCACTTATAACGACATGGCATTGAACAGAAGGGCGAGAGCCCCAATGTTGCTGGATCGATAACAACAACAACAACAACATATGTTATATATGACTGTATGTTTATGTGAGTAAACTTGCGTGTCTATGTGTTTGTGTGTGTGTGTGTGTGTGTGTGTGTGTGTGTGTGTGTGTGTGTGTGTGT